TTGAGCTATTAATTTAAATTTCAAGATATTTTGGTCTTTAGAAACAAGGATTTGTTTAATTTTTCCCAAATCAAGGATTTTGGTTGTTTTATTCGACAATTGTTGTTTTATTTTAAACTTTATGATTCAAAGTGTTTTATGTCTTGTGATTTTTGTCGCTGAATGATAAATGCATACATTAAAAATATTTAATGTACTCTTATTAATATTGCTGGACTTTACAAAAGCAATCGATTTAACTGCAGATTAACTCAATAAATAAATCTGAAATGATTACTGTCTCATTTACTGAGTTTTGTTTATTTATTTATTTACAAGGCGCAGAGCCATGTCTATTTAGCTGGACAAAGCAAGCAAACCATAGAAAGGCACCAAAGGAAAGATTGATGAGTCAACTGTTGGAGTAGCAGCATCAGCATCGGCATCGCAGTTTGAAGCCTGCTCAGTAATACCTTCTAAAGATGCCTCAACTGATGTTGCTGGTTCATTTTCAGAGTGTGATGAAAATGCTGCTGAAGTGGAGTGCGAGTCTCCTCAAACAGAGCATGATGGTGTCCATGAATTGCAAAGGAAAATTGAATTACTTGAAACTCAGCTAGCTGACTGCCAGGAAAAGCTCAGTGAAGCAGAAAAGGAATATGCCGTGTTATTGGAAAGTCAGTTTTTCATCAACAAAATTAAAGATGACAATGCTGCTGTTTTATTTTACACCGGATTCCCAAGTAATGAGACATGAATGAGCTTCTACAAATACACTGAGCCGAAGCTTTCCAAAATGCAGTACGGGAAGGGTGAAAATCTAGTAAAGGAAAGCCAGCCTTATCAACTTGATGAAAACAAGCGTAAACCTGGGCCATCAAGGAAGCCTACTTTTCTGCACGAATTCCTACTGGTGCTCATGAGACTGAAAGCTGGAATATTTGTACAAGACCTTGCCGACAGACTTGGCATCATTACCAACCTGGTTTCCAGGATCTGCATTACCTGGATAAATTTGCTCTATCATGAACTCAAGGACCTGTTTCCATTTCCCACACAGGAGCTTGTTCACAAAAACATGCCCAAGGAGTTTGCCCAGTATGCCAAAACCAGGATAATTTTAGACTGCACCAAGCTATTTATTCAGCGACCATCCGCTGGCCCGGTTAGAGACGTGGTCAGATTATAAACACCATAATACTTGGAAGTTGCTAGTTAACTAACAGCTGGGATTTTGAACAAACTATACTTTTATCCAAAGTAGCCTCTGCAGATATTGATAGATCAGAAATGACCTCACCTTTACAAAGAGAATTGATCATGGGAAGATAAGTCATACCGTGTACACTGATGCCTCTACCCGGGTGTGAGATGCAAGCCTGAATTACACCGCATCTGGGGGATGGTGGTCCAGTTGAGAAGAAAGCTATGAAATTAATTACTTAGTGCTAAAGGCCATTCTCTCGGGCTTGCAGTCCTTTTGTAAGGATGTGACCCATGATCACATCGGAGTTATGACAGATGATACCACAGCTGTGGCATATTTTTGTAAGCCACATGGGAGGTTCTCATTTCCTCCCATGTAATGACATTGCCAGACAAATGTGGGAGTGGTGCGTCCCCAGAAACATATGGCTTTCTATAAGCCACATTCCAAGGGTAATCAATGTTATCGCTGACCAAGCATCCAGGGTGTTTGATGATTCAACTGAATGGAAGCTTAATGTGGATTTTTTTAATAGGATAGTAAACATCCTGGGAACACCTACCATTAATATGTTTGCCTCACAGTTAAACTATCAAATGACACCAAATGTCTCATGGCTTCCACACCCACAAGCCATGGCCATTGATGTCTTCACTCTGGATTGGACTAATCATTTTTATACACCTTTCCTCCCTTTGGCATCCCACCACAATTATTGCAGAAACTGGAAATGGATCATTCCTAACCAATCCTGACTGCCTCCAATTGGCCAACACAGTCATGGTACCCCAAGCTTACAAGACTCTTGATTGGGAAGCCACTCCTCCTTCTAAAACACACGAGCAATGTCCATCTACCATTCACCCCAGAACAGTGGGTATGGGCAGCCAACTTTATCTGATGGCCTGCCTCTAATTCGGAAATGCCTCCAAAGTAGAGGAATTTCACAAACAACTCAAGACACAATCCTAAGCTCGTGGTGGACAGCAACCCAAAAACAAAACCAGGTTTACCTTGAGAAGTGGTAGTCATGTGCAGATGGGAAGGCTGTGAATCCCCTACATCCACCTGTAAGGGATGTGATGGAGTTTCTTCAAGAATTCTATGCAAGGGGTTTAGGATACAGTTGTCTTAATACTGCACGAAATGCCCTATCCTCCTTCATAGTACTTGATGGGAATATTACTGTTGGGAATCACCCACTCGTTTAAAGGTTCTTAAAAGGAGTTTTCCACGTAAGGCCAGCTTTCCCTCGTTTTACTTCCACCTGGGACACTTCAATAGTTCTTACTTACCTTAAAACACTTTCAGTCTTCGAAACCTTACCCGTAAACTTGCTATGTTATGTGCCTTAGTTAGAGGCCAGCGGTGTCAAACACTTCATTTCATGAATTTAGAGCAAGTGTGCAGAAACCCTAAGACGTCCCACATTTTTTGTATTGATCAGATAGTTAAACAATCTACCCCTAGCAGAGAACAGCCCATTTTACTTAGACCTGGAGTCCTTGCTGCTAGTATGTCATGTGTTGCAACAGTTCTTGATCAACATATTAGAGAGTTTAAGATACCTGGACGGCTGACCTCGAGGACGGCTGACCGGAAGTAAATTTCGCGTGT